CGTTAATAAATATTGTTTTTTATACTCTGAAAAATCAAAAGCTTTGCAACATGCGAAGGATTTTAAACTTTGGCGAATGAACTGAAGCGTGTATAGCTTAATTAAAATTTTCATTCAAAGAAGGTCTGAGCTTTTGCAACAGTATGCATGAGCGCATAAGCAAACACCTATATGAAACTGAATAATACCTTGTTAATACGATTAAACATCTCATTTGCCGTCGTTTTTAATGATGATAAAATCCGGCCAGTTAGCTTTTAGTTCGTGGACTTTATTTCCACTATGGCCAAATTTTGGGAAATACCGAGTTCAACTACCTAATCCCTGTCACGTGAATAAAGAAGCATCGAACTCTTTACAACTATGTGATTACAAGTGAGGGCAGAATGATGGAAATGAGCTTAGTGGCAAGTCAAACATAACCGTTTTATTGTTGGGAAATCGCACCGGTTTTAGTCAAATGCAGCATTGACTCATTTAAGCATTTGCAAATGAAATTGCAGTTCACCATCAGAAAAATCAACTGAATCCTCATAAACTATATTCTGATTCATGGATTGGATTTACTTTGATTGTATGCAACTTGTGGACATTGCAGCATCACGTTTATTTGTAATTCGTCCAGTTGCCATTTAAGACAGCATTTAGTTCCTAAAAAGGAACAACATAAATATAAAATCACCTCATCATTAGGTGCTCCTTGACGTTTTCTTTATAAAAAACCTCCTGTCTGAAAGGTACGTCAAATAATTTGTTTCGCGCAAAGCTCACATTCAAAAGACGGGCTTCGTTGTGCATGTTAAACACATCGTTCTTAGGCTTCGATCGATTCTCATAAAACTGAGGATGGTTCAAGTTTTGACGGGTTATGAAGTAACGTATTGCTTTAAAATTAAATCAATAAAGTCCGAATTTTCATGACACACAGCGCCTATACTTTTATTGTGCAAAGTGTTCAAAAGTATAATTACAGAGCAGCTAATCAGGCCAAACAGATATTACGGGACTGGAGAAAAGCAGTGTCTGCAGCGCCTTATCAAAGCATTTGCAAAAAATAAATATAAATAAAAGTAAACTTGGAATAAATGCGACAAGGCTAACGAAATAAATTTTTCCAGATCAAGTTTGACACTAAACACAATGTAGATTTTGCTGATTACGCAGGAGCCACATGAAAATACTCCGCCAATAGCGTGCTCCTCATTCCCTTCAGACTCTTACTCAGCTAAAATAGTTTTTGCTGGCTTGTACACACAGGGACGCTGGCAGCATGCTTCAGAAAAGCTTGCAATAAAAAGACCATTGCGTTTGCGTTCGACAGGTGTCTTTTCTGACCGTACGTTAGTAAACGAACTGAATTCCTTAATTGTCGGAGCCAGTGTGGAATACAGGCGTTGCAGTAGTACCTGCTGCTGCCCTGCAAGATGTGACGACCTACAAGGCTTACGGCAGCATGTTGACTGTAAATTTCAAAGGCTGCTAGAATGTTGGACTTTAGGACTCATTCACGTGTTTGCTAATTAACTTTACCCATTGAAAAAAGATGATACTTTCTAAGTTCTTGCATTTCTAAGTTCATTACATTCGTCAGCCCTTAGCTTACAGCGGGATATAATATCCGTTGACACCAAGCACGTGTGTTTATGGCTATGTGAGGAATAATGTGAATGAACTAGGTTAGCGCCGATATTAATGAAGACATTTGTCGAGGCGCGCCCTCGAATGTGATTTGACTGATAATTGGGGACCAACTTCAAGTTCATTATTACATATGTAGCACATGATCTTTAAAAAATGATGTGTATCAGTATCAGTTTATTAAGGGAAATATAGGCAAGCGCCTTTGAATTCCCTCTTGGTTACAAGTCGTCGGAGAAAAACATTGATAAATGGGAAGGTGAAAAAGCGATTTTGTACATACTCGCGGACAGCTGGCAGCTAGCCGAAAAAGAGTAATCATTAATGGTTACTTACTAATTACAAGTTGTATAAACACATATAATATGGTACCGGGTTATGTGAGTGGATGTGGGGGTGGTAATTGGGAAGCTCGATGCAGGTCAAGTCTACACTTGAAGGAGTTCACACAGGAGGAGGTTACAACATCGGTAGGTACGGAATTCCAGGCTGCAACCACTCTGTTACTGAAAAAGGACTTTCGTCCATTGGTTCTTGATTTCCCTGCGCGTAGTTTTAGGGGATGGCCGCGCAAATTGGGCGTGTTAGCTTGGGTGAAATAATCAGTGGGATCTAAATAACAGTCTAGGCCGTTGATGATGCGAAATGTTAGTATAAGGTCACCACGTAATTGCCTGTAGGAAAGGGGAAACAGGTTGAGGATTGACGGTCTGGTTTCATAGGGCAGTGCTCCCAGACCTTGTGTCATTTTGGTCGCCCGTCTCTGGACCTTCTCCAAGACGGTATAATCCTTGGAAGTCCAGGGTTTCCACGCCTGTATGGCGTATTCTAGATGAGGTCGCACGAAGGTGCCAAATATTTTGGAAAAGCAGTCAGGGTCAAAATCCATAAATGCTCGCCTAATGAGTTGCAATGTGGCCGTAGCCGATTTAGCCGCCTTCGCGCAGTGCAGTGTTGGTTTGAGTGAAGATGTAATCCATACACCCAGGTCCTTCTGACTGTCAACCTGTTGCAGGGGTGTGCCCTCTAGGAAGTAAGTCCTGGGGCTGGAGGCTCTGAAGCTGCCTAGTTGAAGAAAGTTGCACTTGCTTATATTGAAGGGCATAAGCCAGCGCTTCGACCAGTCTTCGAGCCTGTTCAAGTTTGCTTGCAGGTGGTCTGCGTCTGCCGCATCGTGAATAACTTTCCACAATTTTATGTCGTCGGCAAACAGGATGGCATCACAGTCTAGGTCCTTGACGCAGTCATTTACGAAAACGAGGAATAACGTGGAACCTAAGACTGAGCCCTGTGAGACGCCACTCACCACGCTTACATCTGAGGACTGTTGACGCCCGACCTGCACTCTCTGGGACCGTCCGGCCAAAAAGCTCTGGATCCATACAAGAAGGCGTCCACGAATTCCAGCGTTGCGCAGTTTGTATAAGAGACGTTGATGAGGAACGCTGTCGAAAGCCTTTTTGAAGTCGATGTAGATGGCGTGCACAACCTTGCCTTCATCACGTGCTTTGGTCCAGAGTTCGAGCGTAAAGAGCAGATCCGTGAGGCAGGACCTACCACTTCGAAAGCCGTGTTGGGCATCAGAAAGGAGATGGTGCTGCTCGAGGAACTGCACCAAGGCCTTCTTAATGATCATCTCCATGATTTTGCAACAGATGGAGGTAAGACTCACTGGCCTGTAGTTATTCGCAGACGCACGACTTCCACCCTTAAAAAGCGGAGTGATGGTAGCGGACTTCCTGTCAGAGGGCAGGCATCCAGTAACAGATGAAGTTTGAAAGATCAATACTAACGGCTTGGACATTTCGGAAGCTAGTTCTTTCAGCAGCTTGGCCGGGATTGCATCAGGGCCTGGGGAGGTCGATTCTTTTAGGTTTAGTAACTCATTCCGAACAATTGTTTCGGTGAAGAAGACGGCTTCGAGGGTAGGCGTTTCATCGTCTTCATAAGCGGATGAGGAAAAAGCAGGTTCACTTGTCACGACTGACCGGAAGAACTGAGAGAGATGTTCAGCCTTATCCTTGTCATCGGAGATTTCCACACCCTCAGCCGTTCGCAGCAGTGGGACAAGATCTTTGTTCCGTGTGCTCTGTCTTATGTAGCTGTAAAGGATTTTTGGATTAATCATGGCACGGTTCAAAAGATTCTTTTCAAAAGCTTTCCTATCTCTGGCGATGTGAATTTTGACCCGATTTCTCTGTAACTTATAACTGCTCAGGGATTCTGGCGTGCGATCCGTCAGCGATCTTTTCCATAGCTTCCTCTTCTTGTTAACTTCCTTCTTTAATGACGGAGTCAACCAGCGAGGTCTATGTGTTAGTCTTTTGCGCATGATTGGACAGTGGTTGGAGATGAGGTTGTGGACTAACTCTTTGAACTGACACCAAGCCTCTTCGACATCGCCGGAGAGAGTGGATGCCCAGTCGATAGGACTAAGATCCTTCTTCATCTTTTCGAAATCGCCGCGCCAAATATTAGGTCGGGAATCGAGCGGTTGTGTAGGAAGGGAGAATAACGTGTATTCCCACATGAGAACTACATGGTCACTCTGACCCAACGGGGGAGGCAATTCACAACGTCGATGTCGTCAGACGACTTGGTGAACACAAGATCGAGGCAGTTCATCTGTTGGCCCTCTCGAACTCTAGTTGGAAACATTACGTGTTGTGTGAGAAGCAGGTTATCGGAGGTACGCAGTAGCTGCTGGTCAAATGCTGCTTCAGAGCAGTCGGCTGAGGCCGAGCTCCAGTCGATGTGAGGTGCATTAAAATCTCCAACGATGAGAGTGGTCGGCCGCGTTGAGCTCCTCCAGCAGTTGGGCATCAGCGTCAGGGTCATTTCTCGGGGGGCGATATACTGTCAAGATATCGAGACTTTGACCGCCCGGTGCCCTTATGGTCAGCCATAATGCTTCGGTACTACAAGTCAGTTGGGCAGTTTTTTCTGAAACGTGCAAGCCGTTCTTAACAAAAGTTATTATGCCTCCACCCCTTCTGTTTTCTCTGTCTCGGCGGAACAGTTGAAATCCAGGGAGCATGAGCTCTCTATCATCAACTTGTTCGGACAACCATGTTTCTGTTATTGAGATAACATCTGGATGGAGGTCGTAGGTATGGATACGGAGTTCGTCCAGTTTAGAAAGTACACTTTGCGCGTTGGTATACATGAATATGAGTTTCGAGTTCATGCGAGATTTGTTTTCAAACCCGACACGAGCTACTGGGGTAGCTGTGCAGTCATTCGGATCGGCTTGATCCAGATGGGAGCGGAATGTCGTTTGACAATCCGGTCTTTGTAGATTGTCAAGTTTTTTTCTCCGTTGGTTTGCCGTGTTCTAAATTGTAGGACAAGTTCGCGGCGTTTCATTCTCTCGGCAGGTGAGTAGTCCGGCTGAAAAAACGCCTGGAAAGTATTAGTTTCGCCTGCTCATTGCTACCAAGGACGATTTTTAGGGGTCGTGGTCGCGTCTTCGGAGCGGCATTTGTACGGCTACCAAGACGAAACGCCTTTAGGACTGTGACATCTTCTGTTGGTTGCAGCATTTCATTGAGGAGTTTCTGGAATTGCTCTAAGTCAGCGGCGATTCGTTCCCTGGGGGAACTGGCGGAGGACTCTGCGAGGCCCTGAATTATGACACAGTGGTCCTTGTTAAGCATTCCTCTGTTTTCTGCGATTTGGACGTCGTTGGCTGGCCTTATTGCCTCGTCGAAGTGGACTGGAGAAGAGGAAGGGGCTGCCATATTGGTATTTATGTCCCCTTGAAGTTCGTCCGCGGATCCTTTTAAGGCATCGTGAATAGTTGCACACTGGGATCTATCAACAATACCTCCCATCCGAGGGCTCTGTGGAGAGCTTCCTCAGCTCGGTTCTTGACTCTGTTGACATGGGAATTCGCGGTGGCAGCTAATTCTACCCTGGGTCCAAAGCCATATGTCTTTGCGCTAACTGATAATCCCTCTAAGTTAGGCTCAGGAAATGAGAACACTGTCTGGGAATTATTAAGATTGGGCGTCATCTGCCCCATTACTTCCACTTCTTCCGTTGGCACATTTACATTCGTTTCATTTTCCAACCGCTCTTCGGGTAAGGCTAATATACTCTCTTTCGTATTCTGGCAACTTTTCCCTGTGGTGTTAAGTGTCGTCTTCTTCCGCTTATTCTTTTTTTCATCGGAAGTCACGACTTGATTACTAATAGTAGTTGTCTTATTCACCCCATAATTGCTTTCTGGGGATTCCTTACGCTGGATGGCTCTCGCTCTACTCCGAGTTAGCCTCTGCGTAGATAACACCGGGCGGTCCTCTGAAGGAACAGTCTTGTGTATAAGTTCCTTCAGATTTCTTACTTCTTCCTCTAGTTGATGCATCTTGTAGGCTATCGTTTGACAACCATTACATGAATATC